ATATTGATGAAGCTGGAAGATATCCAGAATCAATTCTTAGGTATAGTACAAAAATAGTATTTTTTGTCCGTGATTTTTTTTTCAAACCTCAATAACCCAGTCAATTTATGTCACAAAGGTTAATAAACTATATATTCTTGGTGGGGAGATACGGGAGCAGGTTTATACAGGTTTATGATGCTGTATGACATCATCTCAATTTTGGTGGTCTCCCAACCACTTCTCAACAAATTCTCAATTGATGGATGTTATCCATTTGATATCCATTTCATAACTTTCTCATAACTTGCTCATAACTTGCTAGGGTTGGTGGGAGGCACTGGCCTGCCAGTGACTTGTGATTGGGGGCTGTGATTGCTCATATCTCCTTACTTTCCATTTTTGATTCTCCTTGAGTTCTTTTCAATGATTACCTGTAGTTGATCTAAGTCATCTCATTGAATGTTTTATTGGTTTCTCTAGTTCTCTTCTTTTTGGTAGTTGTCTTCCTTTCTACTTTGAATGTTGTACAAAAAGTTATTTTGTTTATGAATAAGATGAAGGATACCTTAGATTCAGATTGCAACTCAAATCACATGACATTGAACTTGAAAGGTGTTAGAAAACTTTGGTTTGAGGATAAGTGATTTATGTGAAAGTTAAATTGTCATAAAGGATGGATTGGATATTGGAAGGGTAATTATAATAGGGTAAAGGTTCTAGGCTAGAGTTTGCACTAAGAAAGGTGAATGCTGATGATCAAGGTGAAAAGGAAAGTTTCTCAGGGATGAAATATTCTATTGTTGGGTTGTTGACTTCAGCTGTGTTTTTGTTTTTGAATACAATCAGTGTCTTCTCTCACCTGAAGGGAATTCATGGCAAAAATCAGAATGAAGAGGTATTCTAATGGCTTCCATCTTCCCTTTTTACTATCTCCAACAATCATCCATCTTGCATTGCTCATGACTATTGATTCTGTGTATTTCTTAATATTGCAGTTCCCACCATCACAAGAAGTGAACAATTAAATAAATTGAATCCTATTTAAATCTCCAAAGTCAGATATGCCTGTTATGTCCATCAATGTAATGGATGCCCAAAGGCACGACAGTTTCCATTAGTTCCATGAGGACTGGGGGATAACGGCCCCAAGGATCAATGACCCGAAGGCCCCAAGCCTAGAGAATAGAACCTAGGCCCAGAGAGAACACGACCAAGAGAGAGGAAAATCTCTGACTCAGAGTTTTCCTTTCCCAGTCATCCCCCAGACCTCTCACCACAATAGGCAAGTGCAGCGATTTCAGTCATATCTGAAGAATTTTTCTTTCTTTTTTAGAGATTTCCATTACTTCCTTTCTCAAATAACCTGATAGACCATCATCAAATATTACAAGGCTTCACTCGCAATATCATCAAATAAAATAAAATAAGAAAGAATTTTCTTGCTGAAACCTTGTCCATCACATCACTTCTCCACATCTACCTGTATTTCCAAAGACCTAAGAATAGAACCAGGAGATACAATTTAATCTTATAACATCGACAGCCCAAGTATTCCTCCTCATATCAATTAGTTCTACCCATTATCCATTCAAGACCTTATTCACCTATCAACAACAAATTATGTCAGGCTGAAGAATTAGCCACCGCTGCAGCAGCAGCAGCTCTGGGACCAAAAGCA